TTGTTATGTGATGGTTGCAGAACTCGTTCTTACTTATAATAATTCAAAAAATAAGCGCACGTGAAACTACTAATTCTTAGCTCTCGCACTTCGACGACTGCTTCTGCACAAATGGGGATCCCATCTCAGTTTCGAACTCGCTGGTTGTTTACCAGCTGTGCCTTTTCTTTACTTGGAGACGTTCACAGGTCGCCACAACAAAGCAAGTCCCAAAGCCTTTTGATCGCAGGGAGAACCACGTTTTGCAACCAATTTTTTTCTGGGTTACCGTTGACTGCTGTTAAAGTAGATCTCCGTTGATCGTTTACAGGCTTCCGTGGTTAGAAAGAGGTCAACGAAATGTTGATATTCCTGCGTATAGTTATTAGAACAACATCACTCCATGAATCCCCATTCTTTGGCTGATATCAGGTCAGTTATTCGCGTAGCGAACTAGTTTGTAGGATTTCGGCTCGAGTCAGAATCAGCTGTTTACTTGGCTAGAAATGCAGACGGCTTTAGGGTATGACGTCACCGTCCTTTCTGCAATGGACTGTATCATAGTTTTCGTATACTGATAACGCCCACGTCGCGTGTACATTAGTAACTTTCGTCCAGCGGACGCTATTGGTCAATTCATCAAAGAAAGAAAAACACTCGACTGTTTGAAAAATGCAGAGGAAGTAAAATTACCTGAGAGGAAGGCAAAACGAAGACCTTAATTGTTATGGTGGATAGCACGCGGGTTGCCGGAACGGGTAATCACTGGCTCAAAAGCACGAGAGGTTCCGAATTTTGCTCACATCTAAGCATACTTGTGGCTGTGTTTCGCATAAGTTGTGGGGTTTCTACTCGTCCCGTGTTTACTTTCGAAGATCTCGAATTATGAGGCATGAGTTTTCTATCGCTAAAAGAAATTTGAAAAAAGCTATCGAAAAGCGTGGTGCTTTTTATCCCACTCAGGTCGAACAGGGTCCACACCGGCAGCACTTGAACGCGACATATGAATGGAATGTCCTTCGTCGACATCTAGGCTGCAGATAATGCAGATGATATCGGGATCTAACTGGGTGTCTGAGCAGTCTAAAACAACAATAGAATGTATAAACTGGTTGACATCCTGAAAGTATTAAATTTCAAGCATGTAGAAGCTGTAAGAATGGTTCGCACACTCTATGTACGTATGAGGGTGGGTTAAAAAAGCTCTTGGCGTTGATCAATCCTTAAGGGATGGGCCATGGATTCGACTTCATTAAGCATCATTAGAGCTGTTGGAATGCTTATGAGGCCTATACAATGAATCGCGGTGGTCTACCGATGTATCAAGTCAGTGCTGCTCTCTTCCCAGACAAGTCTGGTACCAATTTGCCGACCCTAAGGGGAGAGAAGGTTTGATGAGTTTGGGGTGCGGGATCAATCCCATTCGTACTGCAGGGTGCCCATAATCACTGATCTACACGCGCCCTACATGAGAGTGGATAGTTTTTGAAATGGCTGAGGTTCTCAAATCCTTCAAAACTTCATGTTATCGATATCTGCAAAAGTTTTGACGAATTTCAATAGATTTCAAACGGTTCCTGTAATTACACACACAGTGGTTGTAACAAATAACTCCTAAACTCGCTTTTAGCGCGTGCATGTGGGAAATGTACGATATGCATTGATTTATATGCATTTGGGCCCTGGCGGTTTATTTTACAACACAGCGGTTCTTTGCTCTGTTTTTATATCGGGTCGATAAATTGTCGAAACTGATGTTGTATCAATTCGAATGACCGACTTTCAGTAAACCTCGTCGTTAATAACTAATTCATTTGGATTTTACGAAATGCTCTTGTTAAAGGGATGCGGGGTTCATTAAACTCGATGACTGGAATTTTGGCGGTTTCGTCCTCTTCAGAGCTTCAAGCGATATACAGATACATTTAGAGAGACACATTACTGTGCTATGGGCCAGCTAGCATAGTACCGACTTCAATAGGATGCTTTGTCGTTAATAAACAGATCATACAGGATGGCAGCCATAGATCAATATCCATCCTGTGTAATAGGGTCACACTGAGTGATATTCTTCATTCGATTGGTGCACCACTTACTGCATTCAACTCGACGCAACAACGAACAACCAAACTGTGAGGATGGCTACCTGTGGACCATCGACTCGAACTATTCTGGCTCTGAAGAAGACGAAGACGTCGAAACGTTAGCCAAATAGAACTTATTACCAGTATCGAGTTTGTTTAATAAGCAGAGAATGAATCACACATAAATTTCATTACTGTCTATTTCAGCGACATTATTAGTGCTAGAGCCTTCTTTACCGGCACAAACCATTGCTCCGTACATTTGTCCGCCTTTATGCATCACGAGTGCGGCTGTGGTTCAACCCCGCCCTGGGGTCACCAATCTCTCAACCCTCCAGGGTCGGGAAACTAGTATCAGACTTGTTTAGGAGAAGTTCGCTATCTGAATTCCAAGTGGGAGCTCTCTGTCTAGACTATCTCAGTGCTTCAAGGAGAATCGACTCGTTCAACACTCAACAATATTCATAACAAAAGGAAAATTCTCAAGCGGAAGCGTAACTCACACATGGAATATGGAAGCTCTTTGCGAATGATGAATGAAAGGAAAGGAATTGAAGGCATGAAATGCTGGGATCTTCGCGGTAGATATGAAAGACGGGTCGTTTGAAATAAAATTAAACATGGAAAAAATTAAATGCACAATTTGAAAAACCTTGGTCTCCATTCCATTACAAGCAAATATATCTCAGCTTATAGTGAGCTATATCAGATAGAATAAAAATATTTAGGTCCTAGAGGTCTTTGCCAACGAGTTACCAGCTTCATTATTCCGACGAACTAGAATTCCGGTGTTTTGAAGATCTGAGTTTAAATAAACTCAAGATCACGGTAGCATTCCAAAGAGCTTGTGTAGGTTAACAGCAACAGAAACAAGCTTCTGTAAATCTGTTAAGTTTTGAACTCTCCAATTGTTTCAGTTATTGGAACGTAGTATAATGCATTATATGATGCCAAAGCTAAAGCACTCGGCGTTGATCAATCCCTGAAGGATGCGCCATGCATTCAACTTCATTAAGTACCGTTGGAAGTGAGTGAATGCACATTGCGCCTTTACATTGACTCACGGTGGCCGCCGATCCTAAAGGGATAGAAAGCTTGGTGAGCCACGAGCGCGGGGATCGACCCCATGTATGTGTCGCAGGGCGCCTCTGACCACTGCGCCATACGCGCCTTTATGTATTATATGAGGTGTATAAAATTCTAATTTTGACTAGAACTCCCCTGCATCATAAACTTGGTCATTAGTTCGATCCAGTGCTATGAGGAAACCAAATCTACCTTCTCTGCGGGGCTGGCAGATTAGTAGTAGACTTGTCTGGGAGGAGAGCACCACTTACGCGATACATCGGTAGGCCACCGCTGGTCATTGTCGAAGCCAGATAAGCATTCAGTCACTCCTACCGTTGCTTAATGAAGTCGAATGTATGACGCATCCCTTAGGGAGGCTTTATCCTTAAATGAATGTTATTTAAATTCCACTCGCTGTAATGCAGCATAACGATCGTATAGAGTGGACGGATATAAAAAGTACTAAAATGGGCGGGTTACCATAGGTTGGAAAATAGACTTCTAAGTGCTGACAACAATGTCGTTGAACAATGTATCTTAGTAGCAATCAGTAAGTAGTAATACACATACCGTTAGATAAAGAAGTCTCACCTGTAACTCTGTTGTAATTTTAACCACCCAAATCTTCTAGTCATCGAAAAATCAGCATCGTTCATTACTTGCTGATTGTGATGTGTTAATGGTTTCGCAACGAGGCTGATTTCGCAGTAATTGATAGCTGCTCGATGGGCGCGCGTAACGCAGTGGTTGGAGGCGCCCTCCAATAGAAATAGGATCGATGTCAGCGGCTACGGCTCACCAAGCCTTCCATCTTTCCGTCCCTCTGGGGTCGGCAAATTGGCACCAAACTTATCTTGGAGGATAGCAGCACTGCGTGTCATTGTAAAAGCCAGATATGCATTCAGTCACCTTCAACATTGCTTGATGAAGTTGAATGCATTGCGCATCTGTCTGGGATTAATCAACTCCGAGAGCTTTATCCTTCTATCCTTTTTTAATTCCTCAACTAGTGGAATGTTTCAGGAACTGAGAACTTTATAGGCTTGTAGAAAAACTGATGCATTGCTTAGATCGAACATATGATTATTATACAGTGTTCTTTCAAATTTGAATATTCTTAGAACTATAGCTCGCAGTTAGTGAAGTTTACTCCTAGCTGAGATATGGTGACGTAAAATCCAAAGCGGTCATCACTTTCGCATCTTATGACCCGTATAGAGGTCACGTCGTCGTGTAAGCGTCGACGAATCGTACAGAGTCCGCAAAAGAAGAGAAATTAGGCGTCGAAAGTTGGGTTGAAAACAGAATCTGCCGTAGCTGCCTGCACAGATTATTTGTTAGGGGAATAACAGTGTAATAAATAATCAATTTTATTTCAAAACCGACTTTCCTTTAACTTCGGTATGACCAATCAGTATATATTCTTTCGTTGATAAACTAACAAGGGGTTAGTGAATAACTTTATTCGGCTAACGCTTCGTTTTCGTCTTCCTCAGCCGATGATCCGAGGCGATGGTCCACAGTCGTTCGTAGTTTCCATGTAGTGTCTTCGACTTCTTATCGAGTCGAATCCTGTTCAACGACATTCTCGACCCCACTCGTTCTCCGCACTCTCCGACTCGATCTATCGACTCGGATTATGGGCTTTGAGGAAGACGGAGACATCAAAGCGTTAGTGGAATAAAGTTGTTTATCAACATCATGTTGGTTTACCTGTGAAAAAATACAAATTAGTCAGTTTCACTTCGGTCTAGGTTGGTTTAAATACTTAGTACTTAATATAAATACTTAATTACTTGTGATATCATTACGATGATAACTGGTAAGTATTCTTTTATGACTAAGTGACTTGTTAGATTTTTAGAGAGAATGGCAGAAAACTCACCAGACGACGATTTCTTTGGTATACAGTGCTTGTCCTCAAGCCTGAACAAGTCCTACGAGAACGCTGAGGTACTGTACATATACGTTTATATTCTTGGTAATATTACTAGTTCAAGGTCATCTTAGTACATGAAATTGTAGTTGAAACTAAAATTGCTTATGTCAGGCTGTACCAGAAATCCAATCTTCTGGAAAAGCAGCAGTGGTTATGCGTTCTAGATTTTCTGTGAAGGAAAGTGCAGTGGAGAAGGACGACAGCGAATTGTCAGGGACAGAATATTTGGATAGGGTCTTTTTTCCGAGCATCGTGAGTGTTTTCTCATAACTGCTGTTGTCGGCCAAGGCCTGGTTACCTATTTTCTGAATTCTAGAATGTAACGTCAGATGGTCAAAAGGAGAACGAGCAACCTTCCGATTTTTTCGAGGAATGTTTCTTTCAGGGAGTAAAGTATAATGAGTAAGTGGTACTCGTTGTCAGTGAATCCATTTGGATCGATTGCGCTTCAAATTTCTGGAGTTATCACTGACTTATGATGTTCCTTTTTTTCAACTATAGCCTCAGCTTAACTGGGTTCAATGCAGATTTTCGCTTCCTAGATCAGTCTTGTTGACGGGTGATTGGTGATGGCACTGGTAGATAGGAAACTGGTTGAGAGAAAGGCAAAACGAAGGGCACAGATGGTGTGGTGGTGAACACGTTAGCTCCCAGAAAAGGTGACAGCGCGTTTGTAACCCACCGCATGCGGTCCGGAGTTTGGCGGACATCTCAGCATCATTATGGTTGCTTTTCTTTTCTAAACTAGGTTTCCTAGAAGTGATTTCTTAAAGAACCAGCAGAACACCGGCGACTTCCAGTGAAGAACGATCTCAGAATGAAAACTGTCCAGATCATAAACGAATTAAGACTTCCTCAAAAGGCAGCATAGATTTTTCTTCGGAGCGGAAGCAAGGCAGCGCTGTAAATAATTCGAGGAAGGAATCGTGTTTAGTGAGTTAATTTTGGAACTAGTTTTATCTAATTTCGCCTTGTATGCTATTGCTGTGATTTCTTTTATCCGAATATTCTTTCGTAATAGGGGAATTTTCCTTCAGGGAACCCAGCTAAGAGTAAACCAATACCATGGTCCACTGCCGTCCTAGTATCCAACAAATCTCCTTCTCATGCACAAGGACGGCAACAGCCTGTGGTGCTGACGACGTGCGGCAGACTTTGGCTAGGCTTATCCCGGGACTCCAAGGAACTATAATCGCTAAACCAGCAAAACTACGAAAAATGGAGAATATGCTGGGGTCCCCAGAACAAGTGAGGATGGGCTGTCCGAGTATCCATGTTATATAATGAACTCATGCTGCTTTCTGTTAAACTTAAACTGGATCTTTCTGTGAATCCTAGGTCCAGTTGCCCGATTGGTTTCATCTCATAACTCGATTAGTATTCTGCTCTAACATGTAAGTTTATGTGCCTTCATTCCAGGATGATTACGATTCGGAATTAACGCATTCTTCAGAAGAAAACGCCATTGCTAAAATTCGGCGTCAGTTTATACCAGTGTGGAAGATGAGTCAAGATGAACTTGTGGATCTAGTGGTGAACAGGGTTCTTTACAAAAATGGTGAGAAACAACATTTCTGCGTTACACAAATAAATTTCAACATTCTTTCTTCCTTTTCTTTCATTCTATCACTTCTTTTTTCCAATTTCTAACTGCCCTAGATGATATTGTTGCCTTTGATAAGCCATATGGCCTTGCTTACTCGGGCGCGTCGAATTCTGTTCCTCAGCTGGACAGACTACTTCAAAAGATCAAAGTAAGTGCAAAGTCTTTACATTATGTGAATCATTAATCAAAAATTCGCTGTATTAATCCCGTCTTGCTCATAAGAAAGGACAAACTTCTCCTTCGTTTGCATTTACCAAATTCGAACTCACTGGATGAGTGCGGTTGTAAATGAACTCGAACTTCACGGCATGTCTTAGTGAGGTTATCTATCTCAAAGAACACTGTTGTCTTCTTACTCATTGCCTACTACAATTTGACGAATGATTGCTGATGGAAATGGTAGTTAGAAAACTAGTTGAGAGACAGGCGAAACAAGGGAACTGCATAGTGTGGTGAGGAACGCATTAGCCTCCGGAAAGGTTACAGCGCATTCGTTCTACACCGCCCACACCTGTAGTCTGGAATTTTGCAAGTATCTTACATCGTTTTGGTTTTATTCCACTGTTATCTTTTCTGTTGGGCAGTAAATTAATGGTCCTCTTAAGGCTAAGGTTGTTCCAAAATGCGAACGGCTGTATCTGGTGAAGTCATTGGACAAATACCAATCTGGTATCGTTTTATTCGCCACGTACGTATTTGTTCTGCATAGATTTGAGTTGCTCATTTTAAGAAGTCAAGGATCTTTAAGATATTAGTGGCCAAAATTTGTCCTCTTTTAGAAACTCAGCTATGCAGTTGGCTTTGAAAGAGGAATTTCAGAACGGACAGGTAGAGCAGGTGACCAGGTATCTCTAACACATGAATTTTGTTCCGGTTTTGAGTTCATATTATATTGCCACTCAGGTGTATTGTTCGTGACGAACTTCAGGATTCTCCGTTAAAAATTACCATACCTTTAATCAAAACAGTGAAGAATAGAGATTTTAAGGTATGTTGTTGTTCCACTTCTTATGATAGAAGTGGTTTTTTGTTTTTGATGCTATGAATGGGTTGCTTTCCTCTGACGGTTCAGCACGTCAACATTCCTTTATGATATATTTTACGATGAGTATTTTTCATGGTGTATATATATATGTATACATATGTATACATACCATCATAAAAGTAGATATATATTAGTAGATAAAAGTTTCAACGGCCCTTTACATCGCTTTACTTCCTTGTTTCGCAGTCGTTTTCCATGCTCGTGGTTTGCTTCGAGTATGTTGGCCACAGTGGTGGTGATGTCCGTCATCGCGAACATGGTGCTAGTTCGATTCCGCTCCAGGCCAACCAAGCCTCTCATCTCTCCGGGGTCGGGAAATTGGTGCTGCACTTGTCCAGGAAAGAACCACTCTCTGCAATCCAATCGGGAACGCTCCAGCCTGGCTATCTCAGGACTCCAGGGAGAATTGCTCAACCAGCATTCTACAACATTCAAAATGAAATGGAAATCGTCAAGCAGCAACCGAAGCCACATTTAAAAGTAGGAAAATTTTCGTGAACGATGCATGAATCGAATACGAGAAGTGCTGGATCCGTACAGTAGACGTGAAGACGAATTAAACTAAATGAAATAAAATGAAAGAAAAATGTTGGCATGTAGGGGTACCATTCCATGATCTACAAAGCGTTCGAAGGTTTGAATACAGTTATTTGATTCTAGGTAGAGGAAGGTTGAGGTAGCTAGTACGTCGCCGAATCTTGTTGATGTTCATCATAGGGAACGTTTATATTCTCTCGGAGTCCATTTTGATGTTCTCTTCGTCCATTTATCGTTGACTATTCTTATTAGATTACGGCTAATCTACGTTCCGACTTCAATCTGTATTCTGGGTCTTGAAGATGGCATAATCTAACGATCTCTGAACTGTGGTCTCTGAATAAGTGTTGTGTGTTGCGGCTGTATTTCAGAGGAAATCGTTGAACGCAACGTGTGTGGTGTAGAGAATTTTCGACGTGGTTTGTGAATTCACAGCTAGGCTGCACAGTCCATTGAGGACCATTTAGTCGAGGAGGTAAGCGAGAGATTTAGGATCATTAGTTGGTCAGTTGCTTATCTAAAAAGTGGCATTTGCTATATTGCTCCCTTTCCCTTGTACGGTCCTTTTTTCACGTTATTCTCAGTGTTCATTGAACGCAGAATGTACTCGTGCTAGGCGGTCTTTATAGTCAGAGAACTATCCAAATCGATTTTTTCTCCATCAGCTTGTTTTGCTTCCGAACTGTATGCATTCCTCTCCTTTTCTCCACTTTTTTGAGCTTTTTAATCATCTCTCCTTCACTAGTACTCTTCGATAAGGTGATGTCATCAGCAAGGCGAAGATTTTCCAGGAATTTGCCATCAATGGGTAAAACTTTTCCGTTTGTTATTCACTTCATTGCCGTAGCAGACAGATGTTGCGAGATAATGCTTCTACCTCGTAGGAAGTTGGTTGTAATGGTATTTGCTTCAGGAGCTGTATCTCTCTCTTCCTGTTTTCTATGCAACGCGAACATCAGGAGGGAGAATCTCGTGTTCTATTTCACCAGCGGGAATTTTAGGTTCTCATACAGGACTACGATTTTATCTTCGTTGATCGGGGCTGATAGCGGAACATTGTATTGGCTGTGTTCTCGGCTGCTTTGCATTGCATTAAACTGGTTCCTTCTCGAGTTGTTTAAAGTGGATTTTCGGCCGATGTTATAATTTTTCTTGCTAGGACCTCTTGTTGCTGACTTTTAGATATCTATATCTGTGTTAAGTGGGAATATTTATACTTGCGTTAAAAAGATACAGTAAAGGTTCCAAAATTTTCAACGATAACGTGGCTAACAATAAGTTGAATTTTTAAGAAGACCAACCGATTCACTTATTTCAAGAGAGTTAAAGTGAACCAAGTATTAATTTCATTTGGGCGCCTGTGGCGCAGTGCTCGAAAGCGTCATTCCATATACATATAGGATCGATCTCCGCGCTCCAGGCCTACCAAGCCTTCCATTCATCGGGGGTCGGCAAATTGGTACCATACTTGTCTGGGAGGATAGCAACACTGGCTTCATACATCGGTAGGCTACCGTGAGTCATTGTAAAGGCCAGATATGCATTCAGTCACCTCTAGACGGTGCGTAATGAAGTCGAATGCATGGCGTATTCCTCAGGGATTGATCAACGCCGAGAGCTTTATCCTTTCTTTAGAGCGGCCAACGGTGAATTTGTACACTGAGGATTTCCTCCTCCTTCCGGGACGTATATAATTTGCTATCGTCAGTTGCATTTGCGTTAGTTATACTGATTTTCCTACGACAGATAGTTTCGAGAAAATGAATGTTTAGTGGAGGTGAAAAGATCTCGTATTAGTCTGCTAGAAAAGTAACAGAAAGGTGTACGACAAGGCCATAGGTTTTTCATATACGGATATTTCTCTACGAATGAAAAGGGTGGCGGAATAAATATGGTAAAACAAAGACCGAGCTTTTTCATCAGTCGGATTAGAGAAATCCTTCGAGGCATTTCTTGACTCGTTCCACCACCGTTTTGCTTAGATTACCGAGAGTTTCGGTGAGATAGAAATTTCGACCTTAGTTGTTGCTCTTAGATTTTTTAGTTTCCACTTTGAAATATCTTGTTTTCCTATTTGAAGTTAAATATATCAAATAATTTCTGGGATCATGAACCAGTATACACTAGTGATTTTTAGCTTCTTCCGCTGATTACAAACTCGACGAAGAAGGAAATATTTTATGTGGAGTCCGATTGCCGTACCGTCCAAGGAAGGCAGTATGTCTCAAGTGTAGAAGTACGGACACGAAAAGGTTAGTTCTTTCCTAGGTATGGTCTCACCGAGTTCTTCAGGTAAGTGAGATTCTCACATTCAGAGGTCCCGCATCAAATTCGTGCTCACCTTGCTATGGCCAGATGTCCGCTGATTGGAGATTCAAAGTACAGTAATTCATCTCCACGTCCACCTCGGTGAGGATTTTTAGACTTCGAACAAACTGGGAGAAATTTAGTGCCATCGACCGATTTTAGATTATCTCACCATGTTTTAAAATCGTTGAATATGACAGACTCTCAAGCCCGCAAAATTCCAATGTATCTTCATTTGAAGGAGGTACGATGGATTGTAAACAGCTTATTTATTTCTATTTTATTTATTTATTTTTTATCTTCTTTTTATAAGACCCGTCCTCACGTGTGGCGTGCGGATCCTAGCACTTCTCACATTTGGTCCAATTCCTCACATCCATCATCCACTAAGGTTTTCCAACTTTTACGTGTGACTTTGGTTGTTGTTTGACGATTTTCCCTCCATGTTGAACATCGTTGAGTGCTGGTCGAGGCGATTCTCTCTGAAGTGCTGAGATATCCCGGCTAGGGCTTGCCCACTTGGATCGTAGAGAGTGGGGTTTTCTCAGACAAGTCCGGTATCAATTTCCCGACCCCGAAGCGATGAGAGGCTTGGTGAGCCAGGAGCTGGATCGAACCAGCCAGCATAGTGTTTGCGATGACCAGTACCACTATTACTATTCTCTCCGCCATCTAACATCATACTTATGCCAACGTTAAGTCAAAATCGGTTTTTAAACTTCTGGAGTTTTGTGATATTCATGGATATATGAAGAATTATGAACTTCAGATTCACCTACCGGCTATTTCGCGATTGAGTGCTCCAATTCGGATATCTGCTCCAATGCCACAGCATTTTGTATGGATGCTGAAGAGACTCAACTTACTCAAAGTAGGGCGATGACAGTGGTCCGCTATGGGGAAGGTTTTTCTTTCTTCTTTTGCTGTTGCTATTTATTGAGAAATACCTAGATAGAGTATGGAAAGTGTGTTTTTCTTTGCATAGGCTCTATTCCTTTCAGTTGTTGAGTTTTAATAACGAATATTTCATTTCTCTTGATAGATGTTACTTATGTATTCCTCCTTTGATAAGCTTACACGAGGTTGACAAATCGTCTTTATTTTCGGCTAGCACTTCGATGTCTTCATCTTCGTCAGAGCATTTGGATTCAGTCGACTCGGATCATCAGCACTGATAAGGACGTCGAAACGTTAGCCGAATAAACATCTTTATCATCTTCATGTAAGCTTATCAAAGAAGAAATACATGTTGATTAGTCATACCGAGGTTAAAGGAAGGTTAGTTTTGAAATATTGAAATATTACTTATTTCCTTAACACGTTGTATGTCAAATATATTTGCTGTCCTTCGCTGATTTTCGTTGAGTGCTGATCTTATAAATCGTCGTTATGTTGCGGAAATTGTTTTGTTTATGGTTCCATAGGACGGCCACACAAATATTTAAGTATAACCTTGTTTCTGTAATGTTTTTGAAGGGTATCAGTTTATACATGGGCGCGTGTAGGGCAGTGGTCGGAGGCCCCGCAATACACATGGGATCGATCCCCAATTCCCAGGCTCGCCAAGCTTTCCATCGCTCCATCCCTCCGAGGTCGGCAAATTGGTACCAGACCTGTCTAGGAGAATAGTAGCTACTATACATCGGTTGGCCACCGCGACTCATTGTAAAGGCCAGTTATACATTCATTCACCTCTAACGGTGTTTAATGAAGTCGACTGCTTGGGACATCCCTCGGGGATTGATGAACGCAGAGTTTTATCTCTTTATTCCTTTATACTTTACATACGTGTATTTAAACTACATTAATTGATGTTATGAAGTCTATAGTCATGTTGGTTATCCAAATAAGTTTATATAAGGGAGCGGACAGGTCATATGTGTTCCTTTTGCAGGCTTGGTAAAGTAGCAGAAGTTATTTAAGGATTAAGGATTCGGGTACACGATGGACATAGACATCCCTACTTGTTCGTCTTGCGTAAAGACACAAGATCATTTGATAAGGTGGAATTGCACCCCGAACACAAGTCGCTATATTATGCAGTTAGCTAGTCGTGATGCGAAGAATTTCGATAAGAAAGTCAGGAGTCATTATGGGATCGCTGATGGTCAGGTTGGTTCAGTTCCATTTGGCTATGAACTTTTTAGTAGGTATTATGTCAAACTGTACGCCTGACACTGCAAGGACTTCATTGGTGCGATGGGGACACGTGATCTCCCGGATAGGATAGTCGCGGGTTCGAATCTGGCCTCGGGTTCAAGTTTTGCATCATAGTGTCTCAGCATCGTAGTGGTTGTATTTCACATCATAACCTGCCGAGGAAGTAATAGGTAGTAAGTGAAAAGTAAGCCTTGTGATTTTGACTACAGCATCAGCTTAACTTGGTTTAATACCGATCTGTGCTTCCCAGATCATTCCCGTCGACAGGTGTTCGTTGGTGGCATCGCTAGGTAGAAAACTGGCTAAGAGAACATCATAGCAAGGGCCTCAGTCGTGCAGTGGGTAACACGTGAGCTCCCAAAAAGGTTCGAGGTTCGAATTGCAGGTTCGAATTTGCCCTGAGATCTATGTTGTGTGGATATCTCAGCATCATATTGGTTGTATTTCATAACTCAGACTACTTCACGGTCAGCCATTATAAGAAAGTAGGTGCCATTATGGTACAGCCAGGATATGACAGGAGCGACATGCAGTTGGTACCGTAGACGTTGTGGAATAGCCAATAATAAAATCATTTAGGGCTTCGTGATTAAAGTACGGATTCCTCGCATTCCGTTTGAGAATATCGATTATGGATGGTAGGTTGCTATTTCTGGTATTCTAGGGTTTATGAATTTCTATTACGTTCTGTAAAGTAATTGACCATGAAGTCAGTGGTATTCTGTGTGTAACTCTGTAAATGGGAATCATTGTACTTAAGGGAAACTCGTGTGCTGTATTTATTCACGAAATATTTGGAGTTAGAGCGATTAATGTGGAAGATGTCAACTCTTGGAGGCGCATGCTCAGCTATGGCTGATTATGATATTTCATTTGTAAGTGAAACCTTCATATGACTTTGTAATTAGCTCTTTGGTTCTTTAATTCTAGGCCAGGCGTGCCGGTGATATCTCGGAGAAGCAGTTAAGGATCGCGGCTGAACTGGATGACCACACTCTACTGGCCCGCTGTTATCTGTACATTGCCTTAAGTGAAGCTCAGCAAGCCAAGTTTGGTGAAGCCCGAAGAATCCTTAGGTGACTTATTCATGAATTTTATTGTTTATTTACTACCTAGTAGTTTCATCCTGACATTCCATTTCATATTGATTCGATTTTTTTCACCAGTTTTAGTTTCTTTTATTTACTCCAACACGTTAACCAACTAGCAGGTTAGAACCTCCAATAGATAAGGTTTCTTCGGAATATATCCTCCATATATCTCACATATCTCATGCATGAAAAGATCTAGCGTAGGTATTCTGTTCATTTAAAGAGAAAAATAGAACGTTGGATGGTGGTTGCTCAAGAGTTGCGAAACGATGGACATGAGAGATTTGCTACAGTAACTCGGAAGTGTAGTGCAGGAATCGGGGGCGCCGTGCAATACACGTGGGATCGATCCCCGTGCCCAAGGTTCACCAAGCCTTCCATCCCTTTGGTGTTCGCAAATTGGTACTAGACTTGTCTGGGAGGATAGCAGCACTGGCTCAATACATCGGCAGGCCACTGCGAGTCATTGTAAAGGCTAGATATGCATTAAATCACTTCTAGCGATGCTTAATGTAGTGGAATCTTTGATGCATCCCTCAGGCAGTAATTAACGCCGAGAGTTTTGTTCTTTGTTTTTCTTTAGTTCAAAAGTTTGATATCACATCAACAGAAGAACAACAGGTGTGCATGTGAAGGTTGCAATGTTAAGAAGAGATATACTCATGACTCTTGTCATTTGTTCTGTATTTTTCGTAATATTAGCTATCATTCGTTTAACAAATTCGTCACGCTACCAACTATGTGTGCTTCATATCAGTTTCGGTTCTTTATTCTATCCCAGAGAGTTTTCTTACCATATGTTTTGTATTCGGGTCTACCTACCACAAATGTTGTTCCGGGAAACTTTTTCCCGTGGAAAACTGCTGCCTACACTTAATAGTGTGCAAAAAACTAGTGCTTCGGCGGTTTTGTTTGTAGGATGGGAATCGGACACTAGGAAATCAGAGTGCTGTCAGTACCTCGTCATGATAAGATGTCATATTATTCAGGAGACTTATAGAAGGGGTTTTTGCACTGTATATGTCTACTCGGTGCCAACAAAATTCCTGTGAAAATTCTCGACATCCCACGAAGTTGGTGTTCACCAAAGCGTTCCACAAGATATATCTTTGTAAGCATTACATATTCTCAACTCTGATGATCATAATCTTCCACTTTTATCCTTTTATCGGTGTAACAATTCAATTAAACTCGTTTATGCTTGACTCTTGAGATCATCCATACCGATTCTCTATATGTTGTCGTAGTAAACCATCCATCCATCCGTTCAACGAATGTGTCTGAGTATCGGTGTAACAATTCAAACTCATTTATGCTTGACTCTTGAGGTCATCCATACCGATTCTCTATGTGTTGTCGTAGTAAACCATCCATCCATCCGTTCAACGAATGTGTCTGAGTAACCATGCAAAAGAGCACCCGCATGCATCTCGCTGTAGCTCCCAACAACTTCCAGTTTTGAGGAATTGTCGAAAAGGAACGCATTGTGCAATGTGGACACTTTAACAATGTGCCTTTCATCTTCCTACATCATGAACATTGTGCCACTCTTACTCTGTTCGGTATTCGGTTGCGCTCTCCAACTTTTGGAGTGCTGCCTCCTTGGGGTTTTTTATGTGTATTTGGATGTCCAATGCAAGTGGTTCTTCTTGGGAAGCAGTTCATTAACTAAGAAGGTACTTGTACACCCATTGTTCGTATGTAGATTTCTTCGTTTAGTTAACAAATCACCATGGTATTTTCTGTTCTAGAGGGCTCCTTACTGGCGTGCAGGTTTTGTATGAGCATCATATTTCGTGGATAATACTAATAGTCCTTGCTAATGCCTCGTGTGTGAGAAGCATTAGTAGAAAGTGGTTCTCAATCTAAACGGTACTGGAAGTTGATCGATGTACGTGTTGTTTCCGAACCCGTTCAACCTCAGAATTTTTACTCGCATGTTCAATAAGTGGTCCGTTCTCGTAGAACTTGTCCGATCGAACTTGTATTCCAAGTTCCTCAGTCTTTCAAAGTGATCTTTCAGATCTTTCTTATCATTGCTTCAGATCAGATGTAATGCATCCATAATAAGTTGGAATGGAGCTGCACTAATTCACTGTTTTTTCAATGAACAAACACGAGGTTGTTATTACAGCATTTATTCCTTCACAATAGGGATTTATTCATCCGCAATAGCTGGTATTTCTGCAGGAGCTATAATAATATCTGAGCTACGGAACTATCTAATAGTCGCTATGTGAACGCACTAACCTATGGTTTTTCCTATGTGCTCAACAGTTACTATTTCCCATGAATACTGTATCTTTCATCTATATTTGTTGCTGATGTTCAGCATCAGGTTCCAAATATTTGCCAAACCTGTTTAATAGAAATCTATCGACTGTATACATCCATGCAGAATTATCATGCTCACTGCCAATGATTGTCGTGATGGATTCAAGGGCTACAAGGTATCTTATCTAACTAGGTATTGTCTAACCACGTATCTCTGATCACATCATCATCTCCTTCATCCCTTCGGTCCACTTTCTTAACTCTTCTACGGAAAGGACAAGAGTTAACCTAAGGTCGTTGGTGCCCTTAGCTTCTTTTTGTTCACTCGCATCAATAAGTCGCTACAAAATGAAGTTATCAGCTTTTGTGAATCAAGTGTTTGAAACAGTTCCCAGGATCGACTTTCTATTAACCTCGACATCGGATTATAAATTCGTCGTTCTCATTCTCAGCTATAGCGAGGTTGTCATTTAGCACACGTTTGCTTCCTTACGTACATAACGCATACAACACAACGGTAGCCGACCTTTCGGCAGTATCACCTTCTGCAGAGCCGTTTTTAGGTGCCTTCCACTTAGGAAGAGCCGCTGATCAGAGTTGTCAACCATATGCGAACAGCAAACATAGTTGCTATACATAGTCACTGATATCACAGCAAATGGTGAACCCATGCGTAGAAGCATAATAGGATAAGATTTTCAGCATGTACCAATTTATTTGAGGTACATCATTCATTTGACTCCCTTAGGGATCGTTGAGATGATTGAATGTATATTTGGCCTATATAGTGAGCCTAAACTCAGTGTTTCTTATCCTCCTAGACAATTTGCTTACATCGTCGGGATGCTAGTACTCGGAGAGCCTTTGAAGAGGTCGAAGCAATGACTAGGTATATAATACTGCAGAGCTTCCCCAAGCACTGTCCTATACACCTGCAGTACAGTTCGTGGGATTCTGTGCGCAAAATATGCATTCAGTCGCTTATTTCACCATAGTCCATGAAAATTATCTGATTTAGATAGCTCATCTTTATGAATATTACGAGTTCTAGCATAATTTCATTTTCACGTGCCCCTGCGTGATTGTGTCAAAACGCAGATTGTCGCTATAGATGCTCACCGACACCAACTCTGAAGGCGATTTGTTATGTCTGGACCTACTTTGATCCAGGAATGCAATCCCAGTGATGCTTTCGCTTTTAAATGGTTTTCCAATCCTTTAAAGGAATAAAAAAGACGAAGCTGTCAACTTTGATCAATCCCTGAAAGAAACGCGATGCGTTGGACTTCGTTGAGTATCGTTATAGGTGAATGAAAGCATATCTGGCCTATACAATGACTAACACTGGAATGCCGATGTGTCGTGTCAGTGCTGCTATTCTCCCAGACAGAGGCTTAGTGAACCTGGAGCGGGCGCTTGAATCCATGTGTATTACAGAGCACCGCTAGCCACTGCCCTTCCAATCCATTTAAGAAGAGATACGTCGTGGTTCTCAACTTAGATGACGCTGTAGATGAAAGTGAAGGTTGTATAAACACATTGCTTTACATTATGTATCTTGAGACCGTGGTAAGCTTGTGGTCAATTGTTGAAAGGAAATAACTTGACTGCCAACTTTGGATTTCCTAAACATTCTATGTTTGGGAAAGAAGTTGGTGTGCCGAGTTCTAAATCACTTTGACTTTAGCTTAGCACTCTGGTGAATCTCTCCATGGACTGATGGCCAACAATTTTTTATTGCCCAAAGTGCAGTTTTTGACTACTCGCACACGACGCGATATTAAATACATGTTCCATCCGTTTGCTTTCTTTCTTTTCTAAAGTTTTCATTGTTGATTCCTGATGCGATGAATTTGTCCAGGAATCACTTAGCTAAGAAAGCGATCCTACTGGAGACAGCCACTCCAGTAAGAAAGTGGTGAACACTTCTATTACCTCCATACGATAATACACATACAACACAATCGTAGCTGACGTCGTCAACCATTTGCGACTCTGATCAGCGTCTCTTCCTAAGTGGAATGCACCTAAAAACGGCTCTGAAGAAGGCGATATTACCGAAACGTCAGCTACCGTTGTGTTATATGTGATATGTACGTAAGGAAGTAAACGTGTGCTGAATAACAACCTCGCTATTACTGAGAGAATTGAGAACCTTGCTCAAAATACATGGAGAAACCGAACCATGGATCGAAAACTGACGAAAATGGTGAGGTAACTTGTTAGTAGGCTGGATAGAGGTAAAGTAAATGGCATGAGATGAATTCTATTCGTACCGCGTGCGGAGAAAAAGTAGGCGTCATCCAGTTTGTCAACGACGCAAAATTATCCTTCCTTTCGAATGTTTTATTGAACTTCAAATTGTGCAGTGGAGCGACTCCTTGTTAGGTGTATGAGGTAGAGCTTAGACGATGAATCGTTTATTACCGTGCTTGTTTGTTTCAGTAGTGGACGCTCTTAACCCTCGAGAAGCTTCTCTGTAAATTGTCCTGTCCTCTGTACTCTTCATACATTCGCGAGCGCGCCTAATCTTAAGTAGCCTACTTCTGAAGTTTCCTCGCGTTATATGCGTTGTACCCAATATTCTCGATCGGTGCGGACGTCAGTAATTTATTTATGCGGGCGACGCAATAGCCATAAGTTAGCCATCTATTGTACTAGATACTATAATTTCAGGAGTCTGTTGTTTTATATCATTGTTGTTACTGCTTTTTA